CACTCGCCTTTTGGGTTAGTAATAGCTGTTTCTTTTTACCCCATCCCCAACCCCTAGGTATACACTCGCGGGCATAGAGTCTCCCCCGACATCTCTGGGCTCCCCCAGCTTCTCAGCACTCAGGTGTCATTCTTGATTTTTTCTTTCACATCCCACTTTCAGCTAGTCATCTAGACTGGGTGGCTGTACCTTCAACATTTATCTGGGACCTGGCATTCCTGCTGACCTCTTGGTCCCAGACTAATGGTGTCTCTGCTTCTAGCCATGGTCCCTTAACACACCAACTGAAGCAATTCTGTAGATACACAAGTCTGACGATGTCACTGCTCTGTGCAGAATGCTCTCTGGCTTCCCATCCTTCTCAGAGCACAATCTGCAAATGGCTTCCAGGTGCTACAAGATTTGATATTTTTTTTTTCTAAATTGGGGTAATACCTTATTCTACGCCATAGAATGAGTGTTCTTGGACCTCTTACTACCTCTCTGGATTCCTCCCCTGGCTAATGCCTCTTGGCCCACAAAGCTTCCTACGGTTTTTGCACCTATCAAGCATGCTTCTGCCACAGGACCTTTGCACGTCTGTTCCTCTGGCCTGAATATCCTTCCCCCAGGAGATGGCATGGCTCCCTCCATGGCTCACTCTCTCTTCAGATCTTAGTCACCTTCTCAGTGAGGCCCCTCATGACTACCATATTTAAAACAGTCTCTATATTCTCTAACCTCCTTATCTTATTACCATTCAACAAATTCTATTGTTTTTAAATAAATTAGAAAATATCAACTTCACAAGGGTCTGGGATTTTGTCTGTTTTTCACTGCTGCATTCCCAGTGCCTGGCATCTCATCCATACTATTGTTAAATGGATAAATAATCCCTTAGGAACATATTTTCTACCTTTCTCACTCAACCCTATTCTTTTCCAGCAAAAAAAGATTTCACTTTACAAAAATCTTTATGTTTTCAACAGGGTAATTCTAGAGTTTAAAGGTTCTGGCTAATTATCAGAAAGTAGACGTTCTGTCTCCACCATACGCTCCCTTTATCTCTGAGGAGTCCCAGGTCTGGCCTGAAAGAAGCTACCTTTAATTGACCTCAGTAAAGGCTGTCCCCTACCACCCCACGCCTGAGCCCTTCCAGGGATTTCCTGCCTATAGAATACATTCTACCTGCCTTTGTTTTGCAGCCAGCCTTCTCTTTGACTTTGTATAATCTGGGTAAAAATCTCCTCCTTCTTTCCACCCAGGCTCGTGTGTTCCACATTACTGAACAGTGTTAAGGCTGACCACAATTCCCACTTAACGCTGACCACAGTTCCTACTTAACTGTGCGTAGCATTTATACCAGGGAGCTTGTTGGAAAGCATTCAAACTGCAGACCATCTCAAGCCAAACTGTATTTTTAATGAATTAGTTGAAGCCACCCTATGGAAAGGATGTGGGTGTGGCAAGGAAAAAAATCTCATTTATGAAAGATCTTTGGCCAGAGCCTACTGATGTCACTAAGTTTTTGGCTCCTGGGCCAGCCCTTTGGAAATGCAGTGCTATTCTGGGTGAGCCAGGGTTTCGGCCAGTGTGTGGGGGTCCCTGGGGAAAGCTTCTGAGAGAGCTGCTGACAGCCAGCTTCTCATGGCTAGAACCTCTACCACATAGGGGGAGCTTGGGACAGCCGAGGGCAGGGGAGGAGCCTAGAAGGGATTGTGAGATGTGGAAACCAGGTGAACGAGAATGGGGATCCTGAGGTCAGATGAGCCCTGGGGATCAAACCGAACTCTCCTCTCCCAACTAGGGGTCTGGAGCACTTCCCTTCATGCCCACCTGCAGTTACTTTTCTTACCTATAAAGGGCCAACACAGCTTGTGTCCATGGAGGTGGCCTGAATGGTGCAGCCGGCAGTGGTTCAGTGTGTCAGTGCTCACTGAGCACAGCCACAGGCCCTTCTGTCACGGAATGTTCTTCACTAAGTTCACACACAACCCCAAGATGGTTACCCCCAAAATGACCTAAATTCCAAAGGCTGCTCTTTCTATTAAAGCTACTTTTTTTTTTGAGACAGAGAGAGTCTCAAGCTCTCGTGCTGGGCACAGTGTCATGGCATCACAGCTCACAGCAACCTCAAACTCTTGGGCATAAGTGATTCTCTTGCCTCAGCCTCCCAGGTAGCTGGGACTACAGGCTCCTGCCACAACACCCAGCTATTTTTGGATTGTAATTGTCATTGTTGTTTGGCAGGCCCGGCCAGATTCGAACCCACCAGCTCTGGTGTATGTGGCTGGCATCCTAGCCACTGAGCTACAGGTGCCGAGTCCCAAAGCTACTTTTAAAAGAAATAATTTATATGTATTTAACAAAAACATAGCTGTTCATATCAATGAGTGTATACATATTCCTTTCTAGTCATCTCCTGTCAGGTGGGGCTCTGGCAGAACCCAGGGTGTGCTAGGACTTGGGCCACCTGTAAGTCTGTGTGTGAGAGTGTGTGGACACGGCTTCCTTGGGTTGGCCACACTAACCACAGATGAGTCATTTGGTATTAATCAAGCTGGTGGGACTGGAACAAGCAATCTGGGATCCTGGAAAGCTGCCTCCTAGGCTGGAATCCTAGAGAGTGCTTCTTAGGGAAAGGCTGGGGCGGGGTGGGGAAGAGGATGTTCTAATAGCAGACTGTTTCGCCTTTGGGTTTAATTTTTTAAAATTTCAGATTAATCAGGTTACAATGTTCGTATTTGTTCGATAGAGTCTCTGTTTGGGGGTTTATTTCTACATTTCTATATGTTGGAGTAGGAGGGTGGGAAGGTGGTAGTGGGTGGGTAGGTAGAAGGCTGGGGGTAGGAGAGGCCCCCAGGATTGTTAGAGGGAGCGGTCACCCTAAGGCTGTTCCCCAAGGGAATTCTTGTAAAGTAGAGCTGGGTTAAGGATGGGTTAAGGATGAAGGTGAGATACATTTGGAAAAACTCTTATTCATTTGGGTGTGACTCCTATTCCGTCTTTAAAAAAAATGGCAAGAATTGTCATTTCTTTTGCAATTAGAAAAAAATGTTAAAAATGAAAATAAAATACCAACTATGTGGAAGACTTTTGATGCTGGTTGGAAGGACTTGGTATCATTTACTGGCTCAGAATGCTAATGAACCACTGATCTAGCTCTTTGCATCCACTGTCTGATACAATGGCCTTGCCGTCAGATGTGTTGGTGTTGGCTTCGCGTCTATAGCTGTGAACTTACGAGGGACGCACCTTCCCAGGGAGGAGGGGGTGGGATAGGGTAGTTGCTCCCAGGATGTTGCTACAGAACACCCTGTTGAGAGCCTCACACTTTCTTTCATGAAAAATTTTCATTTAAAAAAAATTGGCAGGTAATAGTTAAAATATAGACAAGCGTTTCATCATTTTCGTCTACATTTCGAATATGACCCTTACAATAGCACTGTGTGGGTAACTTTTATTATTGTTAGTATGATAACTGTTAGTGAACTGAAAAGCTCAGAGAGGTTAAGAGACTTGCCTGAGATCACACAGCCCATTAGAGGCAGAGTTGAAACCTTGGAGTCCCTTGCAGGGTTGCTCATGGTGTGGCCATAGTGTTTACAAGCTGTATTATTAGTAAATCATCTTTTTTGCTTTCTAACAGCCCCTGTTTGAGGAAGAGGGGATATTATTAACCCTTCTGAGCAGGCAAATGAAGCAGTTTCTCCAGTGTGATGAAGGGGTAAGTGTCAGAACCCAGCTCTGAGGTCTCTGCTCTCTACTTACAAGTGCTGCCCCCCTAATTTGTGCTTCTCATGAGCAGGAAAGTGCGTGTGCAAGTGTGCACGCATGTACACACATGCAAAGATTCCAAAAACAGGGGACTGCTATAGCATCTACCTCTGGGCAACAGGCACTTCAAGCTCAACTGAGAGGACTGGTAAGACCCTGATATCAGGCTTATACACGAGGAAGTAATACCCAAAATAAAAACAGTGGCTTTGCACCCCCCCCCGCCCCCGTGCCCTATTTCAGATCCCTCCCCGAGTGGCTCTGTTCTTCCCACTTGGGCTGTTCCTTCTTTCCATGACACTGTCCCTGAGAAACGGGAAGTTTGTCGCAAGCCACTGTGCTACTCTTTATCCTGTTTCAGAGCTCTAGAAACACCTCTGGCCTGACTTGAGGCAGCCCCATTCTTCTTCTAGTTCTTTCTGGGTAAGTGAACTCGGTTGACTTCCGAGAGTGGAAAGATTTCAGTTCAGATTGGTGAGGCAGGGGCAGCACTCCTGGGTCCTCATTTCCTAAAAGTGATAAACTAACTAGCTCAGGTGCTGCCAGGGTCACCCAGGTAGAGCCAGTACCAGGGGCATAGGGAAAAGATGCCTCTAGCTCTGAGGAGCCACGTCCCAGGGAAACAAGTCAGTGGTGAGAAAAAAGACTTTGCTGGGGCCCCTTCCTTGCTGTGGGGAGTGGCAGGGGTCCGTGGGGGCAGCAGGGGCACACAGGGTGCTCACCTGCCACTGTGCCCAGCTCTATCTTGCTGCAGAGATGTGTGCCCACCTGCCCAGGAGGCAGCAAGGAGGCCTCCATCCTGGCAGCCCAGGCCGAGAACCTCTGCTCTAGTTTCCCCAGGGAGCGGGCCTTTGGCATCCCGGCCCCTGTTTAGCAGCAGACCTCAGCACCTGCTCTCCAGACGGTCTGTACCAGCTGCACAGCTGGTGGGGGTGCTCCAGGGCATCTGTCCACCTTCTGTGAAGCAGAAACGGGTTCTCCAGCATGCCAGAAAGGGATGCCCTCTGGGTTCTCCACCTCAACCAAGTTCTCTTGAGCAGCTTTGATTTTTTTTCAGTGTCATTTTCCCATCACCCTCTAACAAGGAAGACCATGTCAACAAGCACAAAGCACTTGGCAGAGATGAGATACAAGGAGGGTGTGTGGCTTCTAATGTCCTTCCCTCTGCTTATGACCTTCCAAATTCCTAAATGTATTTAAGAATAATGAGCATCAAGTAAGCAAATGAGTAAAACGTAACTCACCCCTGCTCCACCCGTGGGACACAGTCGCCTGGGCATTGTAATACACCAGCAGAAGCAGCAACGTGTTCCAATGCATTTTGGCCTCCAAAAAGATGAGAACTTGACCCTCACACCCAGTAGGACCACAGCCGTCTCAGGTACGCCTGTGCTGACGCTCCCAGGGAGAAGACAGTGAGCTGCCCACCCTTCCCTTTGCAGAAGTGCACAAACGTCTCCCTTGCCCGAGGAGGGTGGAGGCCGAGGGCTGCGTCCTGGGTGGGACAGGAATCGGTACCTCTCTTCAGCCAACTCTCTCTGGGATTGGGGGACCGGGCTTCCACAGAGAGACTCTGTTTTTGAGCACATCTGGAGTGACTCACGGGGCATGTGATCTCCTTGGCAGTGGGGTGGATAAATATAATTTCTGTACTTGAGTTCCATGTGTTGGATGCACCCACTGGAATTTTTCTTTAACAAACAGACCCGCGGAACTTGCTAGAGAGCCTGGCGGAGAGTTGGCCGCTCTCCCCGTCCACACATACTGCACCAGAGCCAGGGGCGAGGGTTGGAGGGAGAGCTGGGAGTCTGGCTGGCGGACACCCCTGCTGGCTGGGCCCAGAGTTGCCTTCAGGACAGCAAAGTCATTGTAGTGCCTGGGCGGAGTGTCACTGTTGGTCCTTCCCAGATTTAGACCTAGAATGTTGGTGCCTGGAGCCAGGCCTAGCATCAGCCAGGATCGGGGGAGTGGGCAGTCTGGGCAGTAGCAGACATGTGGCAATGACGTGGTGCCTTGGTGTCAACTGTGAACCTGTATAGGTTACGACCCAGGAGCCCAGAGGTGGCCCCATTCACATTCATACTCCTTTCTGGAGTGTGCCTAGACTTGGGACCAAACCCCTTTGAATCCCTCAAGCAAAGTGGTTGTGTTTTCTGTGATCATTTTCATATATTGCTGTAGACACCTATTTTGTCCAATGCCAACAGCCTCACCTTCTCTAAAATTACAGATAGGGAGAGCTAGCACTTGGGGACATTGAAAGATTACTTCCTCCTGTGTGTTTCCAACCTGTGGAGGTGATGTCCAGGGGCAATGGCTGTGGCAGACAGGTCCTCGAGGGTCACCTCTGTCAATCTCCTCTATTCTTTTTATCTAATATAAGGAGCTGTTAGGAAAAAAGAAAAACTGGACTATAAAATTTGGAAACCACTGACCTCACTGATGTTAGTAATAGGTACTGGCACTTCATTTGTTCCAGACGCTGTGCTAGGGGTGCTCCTTCTGAGAACTGGTTTAATGTGCACGCCTGTGCACTGGGGATGGAACGGCTCTCCCCAACAGAGAGACAAAGCGAGTCAGAAAAGTAACCTATAACTTTCAAGTGCCCACATTAAAAATGTAAAAAGAAATAGGTACGATTAATTATAATGATGCCTTTTCTTTAACTCAATATATTCAAAGCATTATTATTTCTGCAATATAGTAAATATTAACAAGGTGTTTTATATTCTGTGTTTTACATTAAGTTGTTGAACTCTGAGGTATATGTCACACCTTAGATTCAGACCAGCCACATTTCAAGTACTCAGTAGCCACCTGTGGCCAGGGGCTGCAGTGCCAGGCAGTGTGGGGTAGAAGGTGATAGGGCAGGCTCTGGGGCCAGAGGCCTGTCTTTGAATCCTGGCTCTGTCATTTACAGGCTGTGTGATCTTGGTGGAGTTCCTTAATCACTCTTGGTCTTGATTTTTCTCATCTGTAGAATGGGAATAATAGTAGCTTTTTCTTCATAGGGTTGTGAGGAATCAATGAATTGATTTGTATAGATGCTCACAATACTGTATGGCACTCAGGAAGCAGTTGATACAGCTGAACTGTCACATATACACATGAAGAAATTGGCTTGAGGGATTATTTGCCTGAGGTTACCCGGCTAGTGGAGCTGGGATTTAAACCCGATTCTATAGCCTGAATGCAAAACTACTGCTCCGGGTCGACCTCAAAGTCTGATTGTTGGGAACCCCTTTGTGGAGTGCTAGTAAACTGGTTCTGGAGGGGCGGGAGGGACCCCTGAAAATAATCCCACCAGGGCTAATTTCACACTACAGATAGTCTAATAAGAGGCTTGCAAGCTTTCTGAAATATTAGCAGTGCGTTCTCAGGAAGCCCATGTAAGCTAACTCCTGCACATATTTGCTTCTTATTCATGAGGTTAGTTTTACCGCTCAACTATCCCTGCTTCTGGTGGGGATAGTTTTCTACATAGTTTTCTTTCTGTACTTTGTTAATCTGCATTTGTTGATTGAAGCTGTGTCTCCCCCTTGTCTTGCTGATGCTCTCCAGAGTGAGGAGGGGGCTGAAGAAGATAGATGAATCCAGACCACCAATCATGACCTTGGACTCCGGTCCTGGACTTCTTCATCTGCAGCCTCAAGTCTCCAAACTGTCACCTACTGATTACTAAGTTAACGTGAGGATTCGCTTCTGGACTGGGGCTGCAAGTGAACGCGTGTGCAACCAGCCTCATTTCAGAAGATGATGAACCAGGCCTCTGCTCAGCATTGCACCTGGGCACCAGGAGGCAAAACACATCTGCAGTCACTCAAGGAGCCCGAGTAAAGTCTTGGAAAACCCTGGCCTGGTATACAGTACTCAGTTTTCTTTTCTCTTCATGTTTTTCTTGCTCCTGCTGCAATTCTGTGTGCTCTGAGACTGGCAGAGAAATAGCACTGCCTTTTGTAACAGAGCACGGTAAAACCACGACAGTGGAGTTCCCAGAGTTATTGATCCTGTAAAGAATACTTTAGGGAGGGAGCTCTGCGTAAGACAGCCCTTGTCAAGTGCGTCTCCCTCGCAACTCCCCAGTGCTGACCTGTATCGCTCAGTCGACTTTCCAGCTTAGTTACGTCTACCATTTACCCATGTCTGACCACACACCTTGTCTTATCTCATTCAATTTTCTAGCAAGTTTGTTCAATAGATAGTCAAAGAGTCCATTTTATATATAGCAACCTAAAGTGTAGGAAGGATCAGTAAGTAGGGTCACATAGTTACTGGCTGGTAACACTTCCACACGCTGGTCAGAAATTCTCCCCTTTCTCTTTCTCGCTTGCCTTTCCCTGGTATAGTCCAGACCTCCCTGCTGATCAGCGTGGAAAAACCAAGACAGTGGCCTGTGTACGAGGGATGTGGGATGCTCGGGGCAGGACAGGCAGTGCTGGTGGGCCCCACCTCACAGTAACAGATAGGGCAGTGTTCTTCAACCTCTTTTTATCTCATGGCGCACTTGAACCTATAGTTAAATTTTTGTGGCATGCTGAAATTATGTTAATTTTAAAAAAGTATAAATAAAGTTGTGCTTTGAACTTCTTTTGAAAATAATTTAATTAATGATCTTTACGGTGTTCAGGGCACACCTAAGATCCTCGTGCAGCGCACTTGTGCTGAGGCACACCAGTGGAAACCACTGAGGTAGGGGTTAGAGTCTGTCCTCCTTGAGGCTCTCACACGTAAGAAGTATGGTCAACAACCCTTTATTTGTTCCTCACTCATTCATTCACAAATTCACTTATCTAGTGCAGGGGTGTCCAACCTTTATTCCTTTCTGCCACATATCAAAAGAATAAGAGTTGTCTTGGGCCACACTTTAAATGCACAGACCCTAACGAAAGCTCATTAGCAAAGAAAAGGTCCGTGCATACTTTTAGTGTTATCTGACATCACAGATAAATAAAAACGTCCTCACATAATCAGCCTGTGGCCCACAGGTCATAGGTTGGACATCCCTCATAGTGTTTGAATGTCTCTGTGCCAGGTTTATCAGGCTGAATGAGACAGCCAGGATCTGCTACCTAGGATCTTCACAGCAATGGGAGAAACGGACACTGGCAGATATTTAGAACACCTGAGGTTACATGTAATGATTGAGGGTTCTGTGGTAGAAACTGTGAGGGAGAGGGGTATCAGGGAAGGTTCCTGGTGGGGGATTGAATGATTCGGGGGAGATGTGGACCCACGTGAGATCGTGGCCTTGTTAGAAGGTCGAGCCAGAGGCAGGGTGCAGAAGCAGGCCTGGCAGTGGACAGCCTTGCAAGCCACATCTTGAGCTGTACCTGCTGCTCAAGGAGTTTACGTTGTCTGTGTCAGAGACGTCCTGGATGGGGTGTGCTCTGGGCTTCCATGGAGATTTGCTCCCTCTGCCCTCGAGGACGTTCCGCTGCTCTCACTGACAGCCTGCAGCACCCACGGCCCCTCACCATCTAGCTGGAGCCACACACATCTATGTGGGGGTCTCTTCTGGGATGTGCAGCTGTGGGGAGGGGAGGGTCTCTTTCTGGAGAGGAGCCACTGGTGAAATGGGAAACGAATGAAAAATAGATCCCTCCTTGGAGGGAAGCAGGGACCCATGATGACAGAGCTCTTCTGTGTGTCCTCCCTTAGCCCCCAGAGCGCCGTAAGGTCCTTTCCTTGGTTGACTTCATTCATGGGAAATGAATGAATGGGAGCAGGTTGGAGACAGAGCTCCAAGTGAACCTCTTTCTGGCTTAGAACAGACATCTCACAACATTGCTGTTTCCCTCACGAGGAGAGGAGAAAGGAGCCACAGTTAGGATGCTGTGTCCAGGAGCAAGCCTGCCCCTCTGGCTCCATAACCCGGTTCTGAGTTGTGGGACCCTCCCCTGGGTCTGCGCAGCCAGCACCGTAGGGCTGGCTTCTATTTTAAGGCAGTAAGTGAGGTAATCTGGTGTGACAACAGAAACACAGCTGCCATCATTCCCATTTTGTAAATCCTTCACATTTTGGCTTGAGCAGCGGTCTCCCGGGGAAGTCCTCCCTGGCCTCCCTGATAAGGGTGGTCCCTCCATTACAGTGCGTTCATGGTACCATGACCCTCCCTGTGCAGATTTTCTCATGGTCACAATGTTCCTTCATGATATTTTGATTAAGCCTCTTAGACTGCCGGCTGGAAGCCCCAGGAAGGCAGGGACTTAGGCTGGTTCTGCTCACCATTGTATCCCTGGCACCAGGCAGCTGAGCAGTAGTGGTCTCAGTTGAGGTCCTGGCAGGAAACAGATGACATAACGAGGAATTAAAACGAATCTAAGGAAAGGACTATTTATAAAAGTGTGAAAGGTTCTAGCCACAGGGCGACACTGACACCACTTGTTATGAATTACAAGTGTTTCCTAAAATCACATGTTGAAGTCCTAACCCCCAGTGCCTGTGCATGTGACC